AGGAGTGGCAGCCCTATATGCATCCACGTCATCGGAAACTGACAGCAATGCGATCGCTTTGAGTCCGGGTTTGATTGGCAGAGGGAAGACACCAAGTAGCGACACGGTCATAACTGTGCCGTAAATTGGTGCTGACTAGAAATAGGTTGAGATCTGCACGAAGTTGCAGAAGCCGGTAGCCATTATCTAACCTGTAGCCACGCAGACTCCCCTGAACACCTATACGACACTCCTTTGAGCCTAAACACCTGACTTTACATTCAAGTCCCCAATTAGCACTACGATATCCCTCTGACGTGTCTGCTTCAGAACTTCGATTAGGTGATAGTTGAACTCATCCTTAATTGTATCTGGGTTGCAATCCATAGGTCAATAGATGGAGATGGCAAATAGTCACCGTCTCTCTGGTCGACTGTTTCTTGCTCAGGCATAATCTCTTAGCCTCAACCATCTAAACAACTGTTAATGGAGATCCAGTCCGATTATGTACCTAGTCTAGCGTTTAGTGTGATACCAACACCACTTAAGCTAAAATGCTGACGTCACGCAGGTGGTATACACTTTTTGAACTTGCAGATGGAGAAGATATTTAAAGAACTTCCCTGGAATCCAGAACGCTGGCTTCTGAGATGCAACAGACATCGTTAGCTACGCTTCCTAATGTACTGACTAGCCCTGCCTGTTGTCCGATTTGCATCAATGTGTGAACAATGCGAGTGGCAAGCTTGAATACGACACGTGGTATCACGACATATCTGGTAGACATAGCACTAGAGATCAGCATTCTGAAGGCTACAAACTAACACCCCGAAAGTGCATATACAGACCGAGATTTTATATAAAGGCGAAAGACTAACGACAGTCAAGACACCGGAAACAGTGAAGGTGGTAAAAAGAAAAGGAAAAGATCTATATTTGGAAAAACCTAGAAGGACCGAAATTATAGAAATATGATTGCACGTGTAGTCCATAATAATTGTTTCATAATCTGCTATTCTATGTAGAAAAGGTCTCACCAACAACATCGAATGAAATAAAAGCTAAGTGAAGCATGCTTCAAAAACGAGGTTTCAATATTTGGAAGTGACTTAGTTAATCAATAGTTATTGGACTAAGTCTGGTGGTGAAACCAAAGATAATCACTTCGTTGATTTAAGGGTAGATCAAGTGAATAGCCTCCAAAGCCTCAGGATGGTCGGGAGTGGGTGCCTTGCGCTGCGGGTTGGCCACCCCTCCGTACACCTCTTGAAATGCTCCCATATGACCGGGTGTCTTACATAGCCTCTCCTGAGGAAGTCCTACTCACTGCCTTCACGTGGCGGAGATGTTTCTCACCAAAGTGAGAGGGCAAAAGCGGATGCCCGGCGCTCTTCACCGGGTTGACTGTCCATTGGATGACAGTCTAGGGGAGATGGCTAAACCCTGATTCCAAACCTCCAACGACTGGCGTATGAAACTCACCGGAGTTCACCGGCAGACGTATGGACAAAGGGCTTACTGGATGCCATGGATGTCTGGCCCCATTCAAAAAGGCGTATGAACCGGACTCCGGTCACCGGCTGCCAATGGATAGTGGATTCCCTATTCCACTCCTACTGTCTTGTAGGTCACACTTGGTTGTTTAAAGGCTAGAGCTGCACTCAAACAAAAGGCCGAGCGATGCTGGGGACATCACTCGTACCTAATTCCCATGAAACTTCATGAACTCTCTACAACTTCAACCAAATTCCAGTACTGGTCCAACAACGTCGCCTTCGGTGGTTTGGCCATGTTCTGCGCCGACCAGATGACGATCTGGTCAAATCAGTTCTAAATCCCTCGCCATCGCCGTAGCGCTACCTGGCGTCCTCCCTCTGCGAAGCAAGCTTGGACTCAGATTGATCATATCGCGGTCAGTTTCCGGTGGCGAGGATGCATACAAGACTGTCGATCCTTCTGGAGCACATGACTGGACTCCGATCATGCGATAGTGTGTGCCAAGTTCGTCTTGCGATTTGGTGGGACTCATAAAAGGCGTCGTCTAAACGTTGATGTGAGCAAACTAGTAGCACCTGCTACTTCTTTGAAGTACCAGAATGAGTTACAATCAATGCTTGCCAGCAACCCCCGAAGTAGTATAGATGAACATTGGCTTCATCTGCAAGGTGCCATGCAAAAGGCGAGTGTAGCCGCTTGTGGCTTGAAAGAATGCTCCGCTAAAAACCACTGGGTTTCTGCGAGTTCCTTGCAACTCATGGATGAACGCCGGTCCATTCCGGCTGGCAGCGAATACAACAATCAGCGAAAGGCGCTCACGCGCAAGATTAGACAGTGTTTACGTAAGGACCGCGAAGCCTGGTGGTCAGAACGTGCGTGTGAGATGGAGTCAGCTGCTGCATCTGGCAACAGTCGGAAGCTGTTCCAACTCATACGAGCCACCGGCAGCAAGAAACAAGGTGTCAGCGAGACGGTCTGTGAGGCAGATGGCACTCCAATTACCAGCCTGAAAAGACGCCTGGAACGCTGGGCAGAGCACTTCGGGAAGCAGTTCAGCTGGCCACCAGCTTCAGTGTCTACTATCATTAGCCCGAGTGCTCCTTGGTCGGTTAGTACCGACCCACCCACCGAAGCGGAGGTCCGTAAGGAACTCCAAGTTCTGAAACGCCATAAGGCGCCCGGCCCAGACAAATTACCCCCGGCTCTTTTTAAAGATGGTGGCGAGACTCTCACAATGGCTCTAACTGGGTTGTTCAGGAAGGTGTGGGAGACAGAGAGTGTACCATCAATGTGGAACGAAGCCATTATCGTCCCCATCTTTAAAAAGGGTCGACGTAATTCGTGTGACAATCATAGGGGTATCAGTCTGTTACCAGTCGCGTCTAAAATATTGGCTGCTGTCTTGCTTCGCAGACTGTGCAAAATACGTGAAGGATTGATTCGCGAAGAGCAGGCTGGGTTTCGTTCAGGTCGTGGATGCATTGATCATGTGTTCACCCTTCGTCAGTTGTTGGAACACCGCCACACGTATTGCAGGCCAACGATCGTTGTGTTTCTTGATATTAGGGCTGCCTTCGATTCGTTGGACAGAACTGTGCTCTGGAACTGTCTGTTAGAGAGAGGTGTACCTGAGAAATTTGTTAACATCCTGAAAGCCCTATACAGAAACACCTCAGGTAGAGTGAGGGCATACAACCAACTATCACCACTGTTCCCAACCAACAGTGGGGTTAGACAGGGTTGCCCAATCTCTCCATTTCTCTTTAACTTTGCCATCGATGACATTCTGGAGTCAGCTCTGAAGGATGTGCGTGAAGGTGGTGTAGATCTGCTACCTGGAGATAGACTTTTCGACCTCGAGTATGCAGACGATATCGTCTTACTGTGCAGGCTGCCCAAATCGCACTTAATCAGTTGGCGATCAGTGTCTGTAAGTATGGTATGTGCTTTGCGCCGTCTAAGTGCAAAGTACTGTTACAAGATTGGCAGGAGCCTGTACCTGCACTCACTCTTGCGGGTGAACCGCTTGAAGTTGTTGATAAGTTTGTGTACCTGGGTAGTTGTGTGAGTGCTGGCGGAGGGGTGACGGATGAGATTTCCAACCGTATAATGAAGGCTAGGGTGGCATACATCAACTTGAGCCACCTCTGGCGCCGTCGCGACGTTAGCCTGGCTGTCAAAGGTCGGGTATACAATGCTTCGGTGCGGGCTGCGCTGCTCTACGCCTGTGAAACCTGGCCTCTCCGAGCTGAGGATGTGCGGCGACTCTGCGTGTTCGATCACCGCTGTCTCCGCAGGATTGCTTGCGTTCGATGGCATCATCGCGTGAGTAATTCTGAGGTTCGGCGGCGTGTGTTTGAACAAAGTGGAGATCACCATTCATTGAATGTCGTCATCTGGAAACACCGGCTCCGGTGGCTTGGACATGTGCTCCGAATGTCACCCCAGAGGCTTCCGTACAGGTCTCTGTTCGCTAGCCCTGGGACGGGATGGAAAAGGCGGAGAGGTGGTCAGTCCATGACGTGGCGTCGTGGGATGAAGGATTTTTGTGCTAGATTAGCATCGGTTGGTGTGTCACGACTCCCTGGTTGGGGTCCGAGAGATAGCTCAAATCGATGGCTCGAAACGTTATCGGATATGGCCAAGAATCGTAATCAATGGCGAATGTGTTGCAATTTCCTTCTTTCTTCCCTTCCCGATGATAGCTAACGAACACTGTTTGAACTTGTTAAGCATGACTGTTTTCCTTCCAGATGAAGTTCTTTATCCGTTCTCTACTTATATATATTTTTTTTTTTTTTCCTTCCTTTTTTTGATCTATGTTGTTTTATTATTATTGTGTGGCGCATCTTTCTTGGTGCCATATTGTACCAAGTATTTTATGCGTTTAAATAATAATAATAATAAATCCCTCGCCATTTCCATCATGGTGATGTCGCAGGGGTGGACAGCTGAAAACATGGCTTGGTACAGTCAAGGCTGATATGGAGTGCCTGGGGCTACAAACCGTCTACGGACTCCGTCTGTGGAACAAGAATTGGATAACCCTGTCGCAAAACCTTGCATCAGATCGCCGCGCCTGGGCAGCGATGATTCCAGATGTTCATGAAGCCGGCTCATCCTCCCGTAGGAGATAGCCGAAGTAAAGTTAGTAAGCAAGATCAAGTGAATCTCGAAGACCTGCCCTATTATTTGTAAGATAAGTTCATGTGAAACAAAAATTCTAGGACAAAGAGCATATGGAAGCATATTATGCTTAATATTAATTAAATAAAACTAAAGCTGCAAGAAATTCATGAGGATATGCCAAATATACACTTTTGTTATAGAATCTAGCTTTACTTTATAACCATCAAATTTGCCACATTAATACACCAAGCCGATTATAAAATTGGGCGTACATACTAACACGTATATCATATATATATATATATATATATATATATATATATATATATATATATATATATATATATATATATAAACAGGTTTTCGTAATAAAATATAGTCACATAAAAACTCACCTGAGTACAGTGAAATACATCTCTAGGTGATAAGTACTTCAGGATACGCAAAGAAATTTCAACAGGTAAGTGCGCTATAAAATCTCGTTTCAATAAGGGTTTTATTGTATTTTTAATGTGCAACAATTCTCCATGAGAACACTGATCAATCAAGGCTGATAACTGAGCAAGTCGATCAATACTTCCAGCTAAAGGACTATGAGTATCATCGAGGCCGTTTGACACGCTATTAGGAGTCAATTCATTTGTATGCGAAATCGGCAAGCTATGTACAATATCACTACGTGAATTATCTGAAAGACGAGGATGTTTAGACTAAAATTAATAGTTTTATAATGTAAATATTTTGTTTTCATTGGTCTTACAACTTTTTCCAATTTCCTAAAGTAAATTAGTTAGCTATTTAACACTCGAATAAAATCGACATACTCTGAATGAACACGCTGACAGCTCCTTTTCACATTTTTATCGGTTAGTTTAGTCCCAGAACAAGACATTTATGAAACCTAAAATAAAAATGAAATTTGAATAATAGTTGTTGCCCTTAGCTATTCTAAAACAAAAGAATAAAGCTTATCAAAAGTAAAGTGCCATAAAATTCTCAATCTCTACAGAAACTATAGATGTAATGAACTTCAACTCAACTGTAAAGAACAGCAGTTCGCTTTATATCTGCTGCATTGATCAAATAAAGTTGACCATAAATAAATCCCCAGGTTTAACACCACTAAAATATATTATTATAATTGGTTAGGTGATTCATTTCTGTTTATAGCTACGTATATTAGAGTAGATCCTGGTGGGATCTAAATGTTTGCCTGTCTTCCGAAAAGTAACATCCTTGTTTGACACTCCTCAACTGTCTAAAAGCACTTAGAATGCGGTGTCCCGTATCTAAGATATGATCAAAATAATGATAGACTTTTCAATACTTTAAATGCTTCAATTGACCTTTAAATCTTTCAAATAGAAATAAGTGCATCTCAAGCATTCTAATTTACTGAAATGTTTAGTCAAATTAACAACATATTACTGCCTGACGACAGCATGAACAACAAACAATGCCTAAATTGTTACTTCTCATTAAGCATATAAAATTGCAATATACACATACTTTCCATAGAATTATTTGTAGAAGTATAAAACATTTAGAAGACGTCAGCTATTCGAGAAATAATCAGTACAGTACACACAGGAAGCACTAAGGAAAAAACAAAAATTTAGACTCGGAACACTAGAGTGCTATTACAAACAACTACACAAATTATTGATATAAGTATAAAGCTTGGGCACTGTGGTTGAGTATAACTCCATTATGGATAAGATTTTATTTTGATAAATCACACAGTGTTGTACGGTAATATTAACTGATGACGTTTCGGGCACAAACTACTGCTCATAATCATATCAAGTTACTCACACAACTTCTTCTCTTTCATTTATATACATGTGTGGAATCGATATCCAATATCTAATCGATTCCACACATGTATATAAATGAAAGAACAAAGTTGTGTAACTTGATATAATTATGGGCGATGGTTTGTGCCCGAAACGTCATCAGTTAATATTACTGTACAACACTGTGTGATTTATCAAAATAAAATCTTATCCATAATGGAGTTATGCTCTACCACAGTGCCCAAGTTTTATACTTATATCAATAATACATGTGGTATCCGGTTGTCCACCAAAGGACGTATGTACTACGCAGCAGTTCGCTCCGCCCCCCTCTAGAGCTGTGAGACATGGCCACTGAAAGTGAAAGATATGAAAAGACTAGCTGTCTTCGATCATAGGTGTCTGCATTCTATCTTCTGTGTTAAGTGACGTTGGATTAAGTTGGAAAACAGATAGCAATATTCAAAACAAAGCTTGGCATCAGTTCATGAAATCTTTGCCAGTCAGTGTGAGCCACTTAGGGATGTGCAGACTGCCTCATTGATGTCGTCGGGATTCTAAGAACCAATGGCCGGATACTATTGGTGATATGGCTCAAAATCGTTCTCATTGGCGCAGATGGATTCACTCCGTGGTCTCACATATCAAATAAGCCATCATGGTTTTCATGTTAATATTCTTTCTCTCTCACTTTCCTGCTTATTATATTCCTGTTAAATCTCTTTCTTTCTCTCTTTTGCGCTTCTCTCGAACAAATCAAGCTATGGTATTATCACATACTTGGGTAGGAGTTTTAAAAAGTTGGCTACCAAATCTGAACATCCTAACTAACCCCACAGCAGCAGTATTTTCAGTACCAACGAATTTCCAAAAAATTCAATACATTTGAACAAACTATAGATGACTGGACTCACGTAGGTGTCCCCCAGTTTCATGCAAAGTTAATGTTCCTAATAACTCAAGCACTCGAAAAAGAAGCCAACAACCAGTGTTAGAAGCCAGGTGAGTATAGAAAACCAATACTACCACTAGCACGTGTGAAAATCACCTCGTTTTGCCCTGATCAAGCCTACGTTCTTCAATACTTTTCCCCATGCTAACCTTTTACAGCTCTTCTTACCATTGTTAAAATTCAAGCTAGAGAAATATTATTAGTCACTTACAACAACTGTACCAGCTTTATATTGGATCACTCAACATCCAAACCTTACAGGAAATAGAGTGAAAGGTCTCACTGACTACAAACTTTGCGGACACAAATATATCCTCTAATTATGGCTATGCGCTTTACATCAACTGGTCCATGTGATTTTGTGAACGTTACCTTATGAATGTTAGACATAATGGCCAGTTCTTGAGAACTTGTCATTGCAAAATAGCGTCGAGCACTCGAGCAAAGGACCCGACAGTTGACTAAATCCCGGTGAATAGTCCTTCGTATATTGCCTAGCTGGACAGGTCTGCAACAACGGGGAAAGATAACTACGCATACTGTCTTTTTATAGCTTGAGAGTGAGGGTTTGTTTCGTGCACAAGAATTTATCGAGTTTAGTGCAAAAAATAGAAGACTAGGACGCTGTCATCTCAGCATGTGATTTCAATGCTCAAAAGTGGAGGCTGAGTCAATCGGAATCTCAAACAAAAAATTAACAACTGTGATGGTTTCTTACACTTACTAACCCACCTGTTGAAAACAACCTGTCAAAACCAAATAAATGGTGGAAACATACACAATGCATATACACTTTTCTCTCCGAGCAAGATTTAACATGGGCATCAATAAATCCTGAGACAACATATCAGATGTCAGTCATCACATCTGTACCCTCATATAAACATCATATTTCGATGGTTTTGGAACACGTACTGAGATTTTAAAACTGCTTATATCATGTCACTACCAGAAGAAATCTAGAGAAAGTGAATTGTCTACTACTATGCAATCAAAACAGCTAAGTGTGGCATTTGTCGAAAAACTTTTCCAGTTAACTGATGATGCATCAAACCCAGCTACAACTAGGCATTCATGAATGTCACTTTAGTCATTATGCCATATTCTTAACTACAGGGAACTATGGGCTAGTCCACATCATGTTACCTGCATTTCAGTCAGCGTTGTATGAGCTCACGTAATCAATCCCCTGTCGTGTACGATTAACCGGTATACATTTTTTAAAAACATACACCATAAACTTGTCACTTAATGAGCACCAAGAGCTGTTACATCTAATAGTACAACAACACCGAGAAAAGTATAATGGTTGAAAAACAATGGAAGAAAACAGATTAGTCTAATTATCAAGAACATTCTAAACAAAGTTCCCAATTCATATTTCTTTCAAAGAGAGTAGGAATTCGCGGTATTTTTTTCGCCAGTTCCAGTTTTCAGCCATCTACACAAACGTCTTGCACCTTCACTGACTGGTTTCAACATAGAAACCTTATACCGATGTGCAGCAGTTCGAGTCGCCCCACTTCCCTCAACACACAAAGCGGAGAAGGAAGTAAAAAGAAGAGCAAAACAGAGACAGTAAACAGAGATATGAGGCAAAAAAAATAGTTTAGCACCCCAGGACCCCACCCAAATAACCATAATTCGTTAACAAATGCCAACAAAACACGACCATCCTTCGTCCTACCGTGCTACTTTGTGAGTTGATTAGCTACCTTTTTTTCCAACCAGTTCTAGGACTAGAGAACCGAGAACAATATGAAAGCCACTCTAACACCAGTCCAACATAATAATACAACATCGCTTGTTGAAAACCAATCTAATTTAGCCATTTTTTTAGGACGAGGTCCTCAGGGGGAACAACAATCCCCAAGCACCCAAACTACATGTAGTTGATGGTAATATGACCTACTTGGTTCCAGGCTTCGGGCGTAAGTAGTACCATGATGATAGCTATGTTGAAAGTAGGTGTCTAGAAATAGATTGTGCTCTGCATATAGCTGCATTAGACGGCTACCGATATGGGACCTGCGGCCATCTAGACCCCAACGACCACAAAAGCTTATGCACCGGGTACCTTTGCAGGGATTGACGGTTGCAACTCACACCGACTAATTTCCCATTTCAATGAAGAGGAGGCTCTTGAAGACACATCTTGTTGTTACTAATGCTAGTTGCCAGCCACACCTGAAGTGGTGATTTAGTGTAATTATTAAATAAATTCAGAGTATTCATCAAGTTCAACTTCACTTAAAATAACTATCTTTATGGCCTTCTGGCAATCGTCAACTACCTTTAAGTTTTTATAACTCTACAACCCTTCGTGAAAGCTCATTATATGTCGTAGGTAGTGAGAGACATTTATTTTATCTACGTATCATTTCTTATCAGTAAGGCATATGAGACGTCGATCAAGACAACCTTGACTCCTAACCTTTATTTTAAAACAATCTTTTATTAGGTTAGATCCAGTGTGAACAGATCAATACTTTCTCGGGATTGTCAATTTCATATGACGATTGCTTTTTAAATGTATTCTTTCACCTAAACACCATCCAATCTGAATTTATAACACAAAATTTTACAATTGGCAGGTATGCTGAATTGCCCAGTCGGTTACTTTTTTTGTGGACCTGGGATATGTGGGTGAAAACGTGGGTAGTTTTCCGTTTAAATGTGGGCAAAGTGGGATAAGGTGGGCTGTTTTCGTTTGTAACATGGGCAAACGGGGAAAAAGTGGGTATATTTTGAATTCCTGCACATGGGATAAATGGGTGAAAACGTGGGTTACGTGGGAAAACTGGGAAAAGGTGGGACAAACAAATTTTATCTGGACATGGGAAAACGGGGAAAAAGTGGGAAATGTGGCCAAAGTGGGTAAAATCGGTTGCATTTACACCATCTTTTGCCCACGTGTTTGCCGATCAAAATTACCCTTTTATCCCACGTTTGCCCATGTGCATTAACCGACTGGGTGCCTCCGTTACACTCAGAGAAAATTGGCAATTTGATTAGATGAACGAGTACAACACTAGGAATAATTATTCCTAGTGTTTAGTTTAAACTAAAAATCCATACGAATGGGACCCATGGGCTTGATTCCACACAGTATTTTCACACAACCAAGGGATTTTCAGCATGTGA